GAATGACAGCCCGGTCACTATCCTGCCTACCTTCCTCTCGGTGCTGGGCAAGAAGATTGAGCTGGCAACTACCCAGCAGGATTCAATCTGTAGGTTGTTGCAGTCAGTAGATGGCATGAAACCCACGTACTGTGCAGTTTTCAGGAGAAGTTGGCCACCTCTACAGTGGGTCGTGCCACTTTGATTCTCGGTTGCATGTCTATTCGGTGTGGTCTGTTTGCTGTATGCGCTCACTCTATTCCCCAATCCTAGCTGAGTCCTTTCTGTATCTCAGGATGGCTGAGCAGATGCTAAAGATCTTGAAAAGCATGAATGACAGCTACGCGGCTTTGAGTGAAGTGGAAGCAGAAATCCTTGTGGACACGGAGGGCAAGCTCCTAAACTGAATCCTTTAATTAAAAATGGCCTGTTGATGAACCCTGTGTGTGCTCCGTGTTTTGCCTTACCCAAACCCAGGAACCTGGTAGCCAACAAGCAGCGACTGTTGAACCTCTTCGTCAAGTGCACCAAAGATGACGTGACGCTCAACAACTACAAAACCAGAGCCAGGATTCTTGCCTTAATTTTGCAATCATGAAGCACCATCCCTGACCCACGACACTGCATGACTTCTGAGGAACATCAAGGCCAGTCCCGGCGGCCCCAAGGGTACCGAAAAGGCAAAGCCGAAGGCACCGAAAAACAAGGCTGCCAAGAAGGAGAAGAAGACCAAGCACAACAAAAAGGAGAAGAAGGATGCGTCGCCGAAGGCGATTGCCAAGAAGGACAAGAAGAGCAAGCATGGGGAGTGATCGGTGCTTGAGTGCTGAGCTTTTCAAGTTTGCTTGTGCCCACTTTTGCAAGGGCACAGTGTTCGAAGTTCTGATGATCCTCGAGTCCTGTGGGGACTGCTGAAAAGAGCTAGATATTCTAGATCTAGGTCGGTGTCATTACATGAGTCAATACTGCTGCCTCAGGGCCCCGAAGGATTCTAGAGGGATGGGAAGTATGCAGGGGAAACTGCATGCATCATGCAACCATGCAAATTGATCTTTAGCGTGACTGCCGCTGATCCAAACGAGTAGCGAAAAAAGATCTTTGCATGCGATCTATTGCAGGCAGCTATACTTAAACATGATCTAGCTATAGATTTAGTATACATAGTGCAGGCCTCGATGCGCAAAGACGGTCTCGTGATCCCGTCTACGAGTTCGGCCTGGGACCCGTGGCATATAAGTGAGCGGAGTTCAGCTGGTCATGTTGTATAAACTCAGGTGTGCCTAGTGACGGGGAGTCCTCCAACAGTGATGATATGGTTGCTGCTCTGATGGGAGATGTTGAGAGCGGGGCTTCTCGGATGCGCTTTGAGAAACATGTGCAGTCTCGATTGCATATAATGCATGATCGTTCTGCTCCAATGCATGTATGCTACGCAGGCCGATGCTCAGAGAGTGGTCCGTTTGGCAGCAATTGCATGCCGGAGGATGGAGAAGCTAGGCAGAACGCCGCAAGCCCCTAAAATCCTGATGCCCTAAAACCCTGATGCCCTAAAACCCTAAACGCCTGGAACCCTGAAGCCCGAAAACCTTAAGCCCTATAAAACCCTAAACTCGGCCTAAACCCTGAACCCTACAACCTTCTGGAACTGCAAAGGCACAGGGCCCCAGGTTTTAATTAGTACCACGGAACTCAAACCTTGAACTTGTCAAGGGCTTATGCAAAGTACCATAACCCTTCGTATCCTAAGTCCTAACCCTAATCCCGTCCGTGCGCCCGTACAGGCGTCGTGGATCCCGAGCTGCAGTCCATCGGTCACCTGGCCACCGGCAAGGATTACCACAATGCCTCTCGGAATCTGCATAAATTTCTGCACTCCAGTGGTAAAACATTGCCGATACCTATCAGTACTACCAGACTGACTATCCGACGGCAAAAGAAAGGTGGTGGTGAGTTTTCAACAAGCTATCCTTTGATCTACCTCTCGAGCTGGATGCGGTCCATCCTGCAATGGGGTGGGGAGTTTCTGTTAGGAGGCTGGAGCACGCACCAGCCAGTGGAATATAGGGCAATGTTTGCAAGATTCTGGGCAAGGTATGAAGCAATCAACCAAGAGCACCCGATCTTCTTCGAGAAGACGTGGGAACAGCGGAAGCATTGCATTCCGTTTGCATGCCATGGTGACGAAGGGAGAGGCCTGGGAAAAAATCCCGTGCTTGTGGAAAGCTATCAACCTTTAATTCCCTGGAGCGGAGAAGAGAACCTGAACATGGTTGGGTGCCTTTCCCAAATTGAAACCCGGGGCCATATTTATTGTGTTATACCAAGCTATAACCCAAGCCTTAGACCCTAAACCCCAAATGCAGCTCTGTAACTGAGGCATAGCTACACAACTCGACTGTTGTCCTTCATCCTGCCTTCACAATGCTATGCAAAGAATGACAAGTCTGTAGACGGCCTCCACAAAGCCATCAGCAAGGATCTGACAGCCTCGTTTAAGGACGGAGTTACCATTGAGGCACAGGATATGGCCGGTTGTTGCAGGGTTTAGGGTTTAGGGTTTAGGGTTTAGGGTTTAGGGTTTAGGGTTTAGGGTTTAGGTTTAGGGTTTAGGGTTTAGAGGGGTTGAACTAGGTCGGTGTTGGGCTTGACTAAGTGCGGTGTGTGTTTAGATTGGGTTGGGTACTCTGGTAGTCCCACAGGTGGATGGAAAACCGTGCACTTTCTATGCAGTGATGGTTGGCTGCAAGGGCGATTGGCCCCAGCTGCGCAAAATGTTCCACTTATATACGGGGTTTACATCCAGCCGGATTTGCCACCTCTGCCCGGGTCAAGTTGCCTAGATGTATCAGTCAGCTTCTGCAAGCACAGTTTGGTATCATGCATACCGAACCTTTATCTATTCCCAGCTGATGGACAAAATCCTGCATTACTCTTATAATATTTCCACACTATATATATTTATATAGAGGGTCCTTATGCTAAGGCAATGCAGGATTTGTCCATCGTACCGGTCCCCAAAATAACGAGCTTCAGGAGTGGTGGAATATCGGGCCGACAAGCCAGTTGCGAACATTCGAAGGCGTGAGTCCAAGTCCGTTCAAGGCAAAGTGGGCTGATTTTCGTGATGTCCCAGGCTTGGACAAGGCTGACATGATACAACCGGACATAATGCATTGCTACAACCTTGGCTTCGGAAAAGATTTGGCGGCGTCGGGTGTGATTCGGCTTTGTCAAGAAGGGACATTCGGTCCAGACAAACTGGACCACCAGCTAGAGCGTGCTTTTGCTTCCTTTATGGCTTGGTGTGAGATGAATGGGAAAACCAGCTCCATCAAAGAGTTTGACATGAAAAAGACTTTTAAAATGAAGTCGTGCCTCGTCCCAAGAAATCATCAGACCCCGGCGAAACCCCAGCTAAATCCAAAAACCCGGCCTGAACCCTAAATCCCGAACATTAATCCTGAACGCAAAATCCCGAACCTTAAGCCTATATCGTTTATATATATACCCAACCTCCTACATGCCCATAGAACCCTAGGCTTAAAGCGATCTCAGGCAACGGCAGTACCCGACGGGCTGTGGAAAGGCATACGATGTGGCCTTGGTCAGCAAGTGGTTGGCGCATGAGCTCGCTGAGATTATCGCTACGTCGGGCTCAGTCCCTAGCTTTAATCATCGGTCGATTTTGTACGTATATCGAAAAAATATTAGACCTACGTACGGGATTATAATTAGACTCAGGCGGGGATTTCCGACTCTTTGCAGCTGCTGTACTTCACCCTGGAGTCTGGAAACCGCTTCTTTCACATTATCTACAACGAAGGGACTTGGATACCCCTTGAAACGGCAAGGACTGCCCTTCAGAATGGATTCAGCTTCCTTGAGTGCTGCCTGCATTATGCATGATAATTGATAAAGACCCGATATCCTTAAGGACCCCATACCCTTTACCCTAAACCCTAAGCCCTAAACCCTCAACCCTAAAGCTACCTACATGTGCTGCTTCCCAATCTTAGGAAGGCTACTCTGGTTTGGCACGACAGGCTGCTGAGCAGAACGTAGTGCTCTACAAAATCAGACCAAAGCTCCACATGGTGGGGCACATCCTGCCTCTTGCCTTTCATGCATCATGTAGCATGGTTCGAATGCACGGTATGTGCAAGCTGTATGCACAATTCACTCCCGAGGCAGACGATGCATGAGCAACTGAACTCCGATATCTCACGGGGATTCGTTCTGAACCCGTGCTGTTTCTCACTTGCAAGATATGCAATGTCGGGCAGATGCGCATGCAGTTTCTGTGTATGATCAATACTGCCATGTTTCGACTCAGGCTTTGCGACATGGACGGATGAAGACTATATAGGGCGCATCTCGCGTACCAGCCGAAGAATCGGATCATCTCGACTTACAGCATTGCGCACGATGAGCCGAACACTTGTAAGCTATCGGAAATTCTTCCGAAAACACTTTAAGCTGTGCAAAGGCCTGTGAGAGAGCTGAGCACGCTGCTGTAAAATGGCCAGGGAGATGTCCGCGGTGTCGACCGACAGCAGTGCGGTCGTGGGTGTGTGTGTGTGTGTGCGCGTGCTTTGGGCTCTGCTGGATGCTTCGAGGCAAGGGACCTATAGGTTGGGGGCTCGGTGCTTCGGAGTTAGGCTATGAATGGGGGTAGTGTGTTTCGGAGTAAGTTTGGGGGCTTCTTTTGTCGGAATATTACACGATGTGGGGTTTTAATCATCGGTCGGATTTCGAGGCAGGTTTGTCGAATAATTAGTCATCCTCCGGGATCTTACGTGCACTTATATTTATTACGTGCGAAAATCCCATAACGTACCCAAAACCCATGGTTCGCTACCTTTATTTGGAGAGCCTACTGCGAGCACTTATTTATGTAGCGTTGGAGGGTACAGGATATAGATATAGATATAGATATAGATATAGATATAGATATAGATATAGATATAGATATAGATATGAATTAAGGTATAGTCTGGAAGATTCCGTGGAGGTGGAGGCGCCTCGAGCTGCGCTTCGTCCGTATCGCAGCCGACATAGCGAGCCTCGCTAAGAGTTTAGGGTTCAGGCTTTCGGGCTTAAGAGGCTAGGGCTTATAGGGTTAAAAAGGTTCAAAAGTTTAGGGTTCAGGATTCGAGAGTTCAGGGTTAAGGGTTTATAAGACTTAAAAGTTTTTTTACGGTTCGAGAGTTCAGGGTTTAGGGTTTAGAGGGGGAACAAGACACCTCGCGCCAGCTCAGTCCTTCCTTGCCCTGCGGGTCCCAGTGCCTAGTAAGGGTTCTATGGGTCTGTACCAGGGTTTATGAAGTGTGTTGTTAATAGTCGAAACTGTGAAGGGACGAGAAGGGGATGCTACTGCACGTGTTTCCAAGCTCGAATAGATTCGACATGGAAGTACGTTCAGGGGGACTGACTTCTCGAAGGAAGAGTTGCTCAACACACGAGTTCCTTCAACCGTTCTCCTTGATGCCCCAGTTCTGACAACCCCTGAGACCCCGACTGACAGCCAAAGCCTTAAACTTCTCCGGGTTTGCGTCCTTTTTTGGTAGGTGCCCGATCAGTTCTATAGTAGGTTGTAGAACAAGAACCTGCTAGGTTAGGGCATTCGGGTCCCTCAAATGCTACAAACGAAACGCAACCTGCTTGCTGACGTGAGTCATCACGGCATTTAGCAAGCTGGTAACAGTATATAGTGTTTCTCTATTCTCCATCTCTTACGACTGATAATCTGTCTGGTGCTTAGTAGGGAATGGGGGAATGGATCCCTATATTAAGGTCCCTTATAGTAGTTCCTATAACCCATTCCCCCATTCCCTGCTAAGCACCAGACAGTAATGCTTCAAGTTTGTGGCAACTTAGGCATTGCTGAAACTTGGTCTTTCGCTACCTCCCTGTCATGGCCTCTGGCCACCAAATCGCAGCCTTTGGCGGCTTCGCTCAAATGCATGCGGGAGGAGCTAGGGGATTTAGGGTTGAGGGTTTTTTTTTAGGGTTTAGGGTTCAGGGTATAGGGAGTAGCTAGGACAGGTAGGAGTTCATCAGATGCAGATCGGAATTCCTTGACAGCTGAATCTGCCGAATGACTCACACACGGTTGCCTCAGGTGCCAAACATCGTTTCACCTGCGCCTCGTTGTAAGTGCTGCATTCCTTAAGAGGCCGATGTCGTTGCTTTAGCTGTCACAGCCTGTTCCACACAAACACGACATCTGCAGCAGCTCGAGTTCTCAAACTCAGCAATGACCAAACTCAGGTTTTGTCGGACGGCCTTGGCTGCCAAAGAATTTCGTGTCAGTGCCAAACCGCCCCCTCAAAAAATCTGAAAGTCTCTGAACCCCATCCTTTTTTGGGCTACGGCTTTTGGCACGCCCTTAATCTCTAATCGAAAGTTCAACTTCGACACTCCGAACTGCATGTCGCCAAACTTCTGAGCATTCTGATTCCTCAGGACTCCCCGGGAAGAAGAGCCCTAAACCCCAAACCCCGAAACCCTGAGAAGAAGAGGTAACCCTAAACCCTAAACCGTGATGCTGAGGCCTCGAGAAGCAGAGTGCCCTTGCCACACATTGGGTCCTGCGATGGCATGGCCGAACAAACATGAAATGGCCCGAGCTTCGATGGTCCGCGGAATACCCAGACCTTCCGAAATCCCTTAGTTAAGGAATATGTCTTAAATTATAGTAGGATCCTCTATTCCTTACTAAACGGATTTTCGAGGGTCTGGGTAAATCGGGCCTTAACAGTATTAAATAGAGTTTCGGAATGATATTATGGTATGAGTATTACAAGGAACCTGCAGGAATGAATTTGGTAATTATTCAGGCTCTAGAATAGGGCATGCGGATGTGCTCAAGGGTCCGGGAGCCCAGGACTCCTCAAGCAAGGAGGTGCCATTTTGCCACTTAACTCATTACGAAAACCCGGTGAAACGTTCCATGGCATGGGTATGTCAGAGTTCTATAACTTTTGGCCACCAAGGGAAAGCTTTCAAAGCCCCCCACAATAGTACCTAAACAGAATACTTTAAAGGCAACACCCTGATAAGTAGGTAGTTTTCAATACTTCGCACTTACAGGATTAAGGAGTTGTGGGTTTAGGGTTTAGAGGTTTGTTAGGATTTAGGGGTTGAGGGTTTGGGGTTTAGGGGTTGTTAGTTGAAGGTTATTTGAGCCCCATGCAACACCTGTGGCCTCAAGAGTTCAAGAATGCCCGGCACCTTAAAGCCTAAAGCCCTCAACAGTCTTGCGGACGCTTGGGATGCCCGATGGCCTGAACCCAAACATGAAGGGTTTAGGGTTTAGGGTTATATGACTTTTACTAGGGTTTGGGGCCTTTAAACCCTAAACCCTAAA